TGGCTGCAATCTTGTCTTCAAGGTCCGAAATTCTACCTTCTCATTCATTGAGGTGGTTTTTACAACTTTCAATGGAATTTTTGATTTCCTGTATATCTCTTTGCATCTGTTTTATATATTCTGTTGTTTCTTATATTGTTCATCCAGGGATTCTATCTTTTTGTTTAGTTCCTCCAATTTTTTAAACTGTCTTCTTTAGATATGTTCAGCATCTCCATTTCTTTTATCATTTCTTCTTTTACCTGAGAGATTATTTCTAATTTGAATTCCTTTAAAGCTTCCTGGAGTTGCTTCTTTATTTCAGTTACTATTATTTCAGGTATTTCAAGTATATGGCATGTAAGTCCTTTATGTACATAGCTCCTAGGCTTTGTTGGGATGGGCTGGATGTTTGAGATTGCATTTTGGTTTTTCTTTTTGTCATTTTCCTATATTTCTGTGTTTCAAGTGTTGTTCCAGAGTTTCCCCTGGGCATGTTGGAAATTGTCTCTTATGAGCTGGGCTCTTGGGACTCCTCTGGTAATGTAGCTCCCTCCTTGGGCAGCAGAGCCCCTGCACTAAAAGAAGGTTACCAGGTTCCTCTCAGGTAGACCTAAAGCCTTCTCAAGCTGCACAGTTTCCCCCTCTGGTAGCAAAGCTCCCCCGAGGGAAAGAAGGCCACCTGTTGTGGTCCAGACAAACCCAAATCCTGCTAAACCCAATCTAGAGTGGCCCCAAGCCCAGCAAACCCCAAACCCCCTAAGGCCAGGATCTCATACTCTCCCAGGGATTGGATGTTATGTAGTCATACAGCTCCTTGGACAGCAAAGCTCCCCAGGCTGATAGAAGTTTCCCCTGTGGCCTAGATATGCCTCAAACCTCCTCAGCAGGGCTGCTCACTCCTCCAGGCAGTGGCAGTAGTTCTGGTGCTCTCCAGGTCAAAAGAAGGTCGCAGATGAGGCCGAAGCAGGTTCCAGTGGCTCAGCCCAGCTCCCTCCTTTGGCTGGCAGCTGTGGTGCACTTCTCATTTGGGAGAGGTGATGGGCGGGGATGAACAGATTCCCTCTACTGGGCTGTTCTCTGTCCTTGACCTGCAGCTGTGGTGTGTGCCTCTGGCTGGAGAGGTGGTGGGTGGGGCTGAATTGATTCTCTCCTTTGGGCTGTTCTCTCTCCTTCCTGCCGGTAGCTGTGGCGCACTCCTCCTGCTTCAAGTATTTAGTGTAACAGTATTGGTTCAAATCTGAATAATAGCAGAGTGCTTAAAAAATTAAGCAACTTATTACCTTCAATCACATATTAACATTCTTTGTAGGATAATGTCATTCAACAAAATGCATGCTTCAATGGATATAGTATTTTAAATTAGAAATGTACTTGAAACTCATGATCTGAATTTTTGTGTGTATTGTATAAGTGCAATTTCTAGTAGGGTTCAGGGAAAGAAGCCAGATTTCTTCCCAAAGCAAGGTGCTGCCTAATCTATGTGTTTTGTGTTCCTTATGTTAAGGAGAGTATCAATGTACTCTTAATTTTTATTTCAATGCCATATCATCCTTTTACTAGATTTAATTCTAATAAGTCTTCATGCTGGCTCTTCTGATTATTCATACAGGTCTCACATTATGGCCCTTAAATTTATCATTAATTTAATCCCACAGAAATAAAAGCATTTAGTGACATTAAATCATAAAATGACAGGGCTCTACAAGGCATAAAAGCTTAATCTCCGTCTGATGTTACACTCTAGCTTCTTCAGTTTTCACTAAATCAAAGCATAGTTTAACAAAACAAAAAAACAGCTTGAATTTTATATTTTAGTGCATTATAAAAAATATCACATATTCTCTTTATTAATAAATAGTGGAAGCACTGGAAGTTTCCATTCCTTAGTATTCAAATTCAAAATGGATTTTGCAGACCATATCATGAATTTTAAAATATTTGATAGGAATTAAAATAGGGAAAGGAGATTTAAAGGGAGAGAAAGGAAGGTGCTTGGGAAGAAGAAGGGAACAAAAAGAGAAACAAGCTGTATTAATTTCTTGAACTGACTCTTTAAGATGAATGTTAATATGTACTAACAAAAGGAAACAAAAATCTGAGCGTCTTTCATTACTAAAAAATCCAAGCTTGTACCAGTATTCTAACATTTAGTTCACATTACAATTTTTTTCGATGATTGTCCTAACTACCTGAAATTACACTTGTTAGTACTTAAGTTGGATTTCTCCACCGGATTTCTTGGCTTGCTTAAATACTTATTATTTTGTTCTATAATAAAATATATATTGCAGGTATTGAATTGTTATTTCTTGATTTCTTGTTATTTTAAAAAGATCTTTATTTTCCTCTCCAAAATCTGAACTTTTTTATACAAGAAACCATTTACATTGGAAGGGAGTCTAAGTAATTTTCAATGTCACTATTTAAGATTTGACAACTACTTCACCAAATAATACATAAAATACAACAAGTGGCTATGATTAAATGTACTGGCTATACTACATTTTGGTTGTGGTATGAAGACAGTAAAGCTCTCATGAATTACTCTTGGGAATATAAAATAACAGAGTCACTCTGGGAAAGAATTTGCCAATTTCATAAAATATTAAATATACCTAAACTCATTCCTAAATACTGACCAAGAGAAATGGAAATATTTGTGCCTGCAAAAGCAGATACTGATGAAATTTCACACAAAATATAGCAGTCTTGAAGTATTAAACTGGATTCAATTGTAAACGTTCATTCATAGATGAATGGCAAAACAAATTTTAGTATTCATGCAATGGGATCTGTATTAGGTAATTGGTTTTTGGACAAAATATCTGATACTTGCAATTTAAAGGAGTAAATAAATCATTTGGGTTATGGTTTCAGGGGGATTTAATCCATGGTTGGTTTGCTCCAAACAGAAACATTATGGTGAAAGAGCACATATACCTTGTTCATAGCAGCCTGGATGCAGAGCTGTTGAAAGATGAGGCAGGAAAGGTAGGGGAACACATATAATGAAAGTCAAGGTCCTGTCCCCAAAGTCCACCCAGATATGGCCAGAAATGTGCTTTTGATCCCCTGGGCACCTACCTCCCAAGACAGGAAGTTGACACAACTAACCTTAACCACCAAAGAATGCTACTCAATTAAAAAAAAAAAAAAAAAAAAAAAAAAAAAAAAAGAACTCTTGGTATGTGAATAATATGAATGAATCTCCAAATAACAGGCTGATTTAATAAGGATAGGTAAAATTAAGTGCATATACTATATTACAGTAAACATTCTAAAATATGTAAATTGAGATAGAATGGCAAATGGTGTTTTTGTTATTTTGTTTTGCTTTATTCATGATGTAGGAGAGGCAAGGAAGTATGAGAGGAAGAAATTACACAGGTATGGAAGAAACTTTGTGGGATGATTGATATATTCCTGTGTTTGAATGTGGTGGTATCTTCCCCAGTGAGCATTTTATTGTAATTTATTAAAAGCTATATCATAAATACATGCAGCCAATTATACAAAAACTTTAAAAATTTACCCAAGAATAAGCAATTTAGCTGAACGTATAATTAATATGTATAGCTCTTATTGTTGGTTATATTAAATGTATTTTATACTATAGGGATGTAGGCAAAATAAAGTAAATATTGGTACTAATATCTCCATGATTTAGATAAATAAAACTCAAAAAAACTAAATGATTTACCTGAAGTCATTCAACTTTGAAAAGCTGCTTTTTTTTTTTTTTTTTTGTAAGGAGCACTTATTGAACTTTATTAATTTTAGTCATTGACAAATAATAGCTGTCTATCTGTTGTCTCATTCTTAACATTCGTTTATTTATCATGATTTTCATTATTTTTCTCATTTTTAGTCCGTTTTATGACTATCTAATACCCTAAAGTTTTTCCTCTTATTAATACTTTTATTAAAAATCACTGAAGTTGGAATTAATATTAACTGTTGTATTTTTCTGCTTATTGTGTTTCATTTTAGAAGTTATTTTAATGACATTATCTTAACTAATTTTAGAAGGGTCCTATGATGAAAATTAAGTAAAAAGGAAACACCCCTGTACTGGAGGTTACAGTAAGATCAAATAATCATACTCTCTATTTTGTAGATTTTAAAATAGAGAAATTTTAATCTACATTGATTGATTCATGCAATGGACTTGTCAGAGCCTAACCTATACACTTGTTTGTTGACATTATAGGCAGAAGTCAGAGAAAAGCCATATTCATATTGTAAACTCAAAAATAAATGAAATAGTCAATAGGCTTTTTTTCTGAAGTTTTGTATGAGTAAAGAGTTGAGCTTTTTAAAAATTTTAACAAATAATTCGTTTTGTGTCAAGCACTACAAGTGTCATCTTTGCTCTTTGAGAAGGAAGAAAATGGTAGAAATCATCAAGTATGTTTTAGGATTAGCTGTAATACTGACTTGTTCAAGGTATGCTAACTTTTTCTTATATTTTAATAATATATATCTTTTGTTGTTTGTATGAAATATAAATTTCAAAAAAGGGACTTTTGTGTATATTTTCTCCAGAAGGGTTTTGGTGTTTAGGGAAAAAAGTCATCAAATTAGCATTGATTCAAACAGGAAATAAAGCATTTCTTTCTATAAAATATTGTGCCTTCATAGGTTTTAGTTTTGTGAAACTGTGCTAATCTTTATATATAAACTATGAAAAGTGAAAATTCAAAGATAATTCATACTGAAAACATTGTATCTATCTTTAAAAAGATGTAACTATATATGCTGTATTTAAATGCTTCTAATCTTCTTAAAAAGCTTATGTTAACCTGGCATTAATGTTTATGAATGTATATTCTTTAAAAGATTTGTTCTTATCTCTTATCATTTTAGATGAAACTTAAAATGGCTATTTTTTCTTTTTTCAATTTAAGCTTTATTTATTTAACATTTAAAAATATCTTCTTCACTTCACTAACATGGCAGACAACTGAAGGCCCTGTCAAGAGACTGAAAACCCAGTTAGGCAGTGAAGGTTACAGCTTGCTTCTTGAAGTGGGCTGCAGGACTTGAGTCAGGTCCTGGGCTGGCTTCCCTGGTAAGCTGAGATGACCTGAAAGGAAAGCCTCCTCCTTCTCCTCTTCCTCAGAATCAGGCATCAGACATCAGCTCACAAGCAGGAGAGAGCCGCATGCTACCAGGCACTGGTTCCTGATGAGCCCCTGGGGAGAGGTCAGTGTGGTCTCTTCAGTAGGTGGTGTAGCACTTTCTGGAGAAGAAAGAGTAGAAGTACTGGGGACCTCAGGAGACAGGGCCAACATTCAGTGACAGTCACCTTTCTTTCAGTAGCATTCTGTCCACTCAACAAATCCCGAAAAGCCATTCAAAGCCCCATCCTGGCTGCAACTTGTAGGTGTTTCCCAAGGCAGACTACAGGATACAGATGATGATTCCAACTCAGTGGGCCTCTTCTTCCATAGAGGAGAGGCCAGAGAAGAAGCTGGCATTGCTGGCCAGAGTGCGCTTCTTCTTCTTCCCTGGAGCCTTGTTCCCTTGGGGTCTTGTTGCTATGTGTTTGAGCTCTGAGACATCAAAGGAAGAGAGAGGCGGAGCGGTCTTTTTTGCTAGTACCTGTTCCCTGTCATACATCTCTTTCAGGATCTTGCTACTGGGAGTGGCACAGACAGGGGTAAAGAAGCTCAATCCCGGAGTCACCTCTGTGGGATCTTCCAGGCTGAAGGAGCCTTCAGAATCCTGGGTCCACTCAACAGTGCTCAAACTTTCCTGGCTTTGCTGGCGGTTCTTACACTTCATAGCATTACAGCTGCAGACCGCACCGCAGCACAGGTTTTGCTTCCTGCACCCACACTGCTTGTTCCTACACCAGCCCTTGCAGGAACACCGTTGGATGTTCTTCCGGGGTACCTTAATTGATTTTGATGGCTTCCATTCCTCATCATCCCCATCATCACCATCACCAGCATCTTCCTCATTCTCAGAATGCTCTGAATAACATTTTAGATCCTCCATGTCCATGCTTTGTTCTGGGATCTTTACTTTACCATGGGATGGTTTTGGCTTAGGAGGGATATAGTCAAAGGAGGAGTCTGAGGAGGAGGACATTTCCTCAGGAACATGAGATTTCTGCCTGTTGACTGCGTGAAATAGGTGCAGTTTCTGCTTGAGTTTTTCATTTTCCTGGAGAAGCTTCCGATTTTGCTCGCATACTTCTTGCATCTTCTTAAGCTCTTCCTCCTGACAGTGTAGAGTGCTCAGCAGCTGTTGTTCTGTCACGCTACCTGTCTCCTCCAGCTGCTTCTCAGCTGCCCGGCTTTGCGGCAGCTGGCTGAGGAGATACAGCACCTTCTCCTGGTTCTGCTGCTCCACTCTGACCAGGTCAGCTTGAAACTCTGTCTTTATCTCAGCAAAACGATTTCGTTCCTCAAACAGTATCTTCTGCACGTCAGCACAGCTGGCCTTGCTCTGTTTCAGGCTACTTTCAAGACTGCTGACCTGTAATTTGGAAGAGACCAGCTCTCCAATTAAGTATTTCAGGGCGCACTTGGCTTCCAGAATCGTAGTAATGTTCTCCCAGGTTTTGGGGGGCCTGTCTTCACTTTCTGCATCCAGAAGCTTCTGTTGGAAGTCGGCAATCTGAGCGCTCCTGAGTTTTATTTCAGTCTCTAAGCTTTCAATCTGCTTTTTAGTAGAATCCTCTGACTCTGAAACTTGAGCAGGCATTTCAGCAAGTGAGATTGTACGCCTTTGAAGTTTAGGAGGTGGATTCTCCTCAGATTCTTTTTTTGACTTAAGCTGAGCCAGGTCCTGAGCCAGGATCTTTCTGTCTTGAAGGAGGTCATTCAAATGACGTTTGGCTTCCTCAATACTCACCATAACCTCGATTTCACTCCCAAGCCAACTTTTCACTCGTGCTGCGGTGCCTTCCATTCCACGGCTCTGAGTCTGTTTTCGCTTATCTGCACCCTCCTGTTGCCTCTGGAGAGCATCTCTGAGACGCTTGTTGGCAGCTGCTGCCTCTTCAGCTTTACGTCTGAGTACACTGGACTGTTTCTGGAAGTTTCTCTCAAGTTTGAGAAGCTCATATTGCCTCTTACGGTCCTGTTCTTTTAACTGGATTACTTCTTTGTCTTTTTGTTGCTTCCACTGTCTAAACTTTTCTGCATCCTCCTTCATCTGGTGCATTAACTGGACTCGCTGGTTTTTCATTATTGCTATCTCCTGGTTCAGTTTGGTCACAGTGTGCTCTGTGGATTCCTTCATTTTCAGAAGCTTGAAATGTTCATGTAGCTTCTTTTTCAAATCAGCTATTTGACTCTCAAGCTCTTGGAGACGTTTGCGACGGCACTCACTCAGCTTGGCCTGGTTAATGTCCTTTTTTGCTGTCTGAAGTTCGAGAATTAAGTCTTCTTTTTTTCTTTGCAGCTGACTCACTTCCAATTCTAGATTTTTTATGTTATCCTGGTACATTAACTGAATGGGGTTTAGTTCACTGTCATTCTGAGTCATCTTCTTGGCCAAGGCCTCTTTCAGTGCCAGAGCTTTGTTCAACTCAAGCAGCTGCTTTGACATCTGGGCTTGTCGCAAAGCGTGATGGGTAGTGAAAGCATCAGAAGACCCGCTGCTAGTCTCTGAACTGCTTTGCATTTGAGCTTCTTCTTCTAATGTAGTATTAGTGGCTGTAGCTATGCAAGGTACAGTTTCTTTGGACAGCTGGAGAATCACTTGTTGCAGATGGCAAATTACCTCTACATTTTCTTTTAATTCCTGGTCTTCCAGATTCTCCACTAGGTTTTGAAGGTCCAGCTTACAGGCTGCATGCTGTCTGAGCTCTTCTAATTTCATATTCAGTTTTTCATTTGTTTGTTCCATCAAAATGATCCTTTCCAACATTTGTACGGTCTCACCAGTTGCCTCGCTCAGACTACGGCTTAGTTTCACGTTCTCCTCTACTAGGGACTGATTCTTCTCTATCAGGGATTGTAGGTTCTCTGATGGTTCCATATTTAGAGACCCAGGCAGGGCACCTCCACGGGCTTGCAGCAACAAAACCTGAAGCTGTTGTACCTGTTGCTTAAGTTGATTAAGTTCAGCTGTCTGGGGATCAATGTTAATAACAGGTTTGTTTTTTATTTTCCTTGCTCTGTCAGCATACTGAAGGGTATTTAATGTTTCCTCCAGATTGGAATCAGCAGGACTTACACAGGCTATCATGAGTGTATGGCTGTTACCTCCTAGAGAATCCTGAAGCAGTCGAGTCAGTTTGGAATCTCTGTAGGGCACAAAGCTTCCCTTTCTGTCATCTCCAAGAGCACGGATTACATTCCCCAAGCATAGGAGACCTCGGTTAATATTAATCCCTTCTTTTAGACGATCTCCTTCTGCTTTGGTTTTCTTCTGTCTTTCTGATCCAGCGAGGTCTACAAGGTGCAGCTTGGAGTGAAAGCTGCTGTTCTTGTCGTTTTTCTTTCTTTGCTCTATGGAAATGGTGAAGATAGCATGAGATCGGGAGGACTGGGCGTTCATAGCCGTAGAGGCCACAGTCCTACAGTTGTTGCCCTGCTCCAAACAGGAAATAGTGTCCAAGGCAACAACAACAGTCTTCTCGGTGAGTCCTATCATCTTTATGCCTTCCTTGGGATCTTCCCGGATATTTATGTGAGGAGTTTTCCCTTGAGACAAGCACAGAAGGTCTAAAATTTCTTCATTGTAAATCTCCAAGTAAGATACTTTCAGAGTAAATTCAAAGTCATGCTTTTTATCAATTTCTTTGAAGAGCAGGTCTATGGCCCTAGGAATGACCCCAATCGTGGGCTCATTCTCTTGCTCTGCAGTGTACGCACCTCCCATTGAATAGGTTTTCCCAGAGCCAGTCTGCCCGTAGGCCAGGACAGTTGCATTGTATCCTTTAAATACACCCCTAATGAGTGGTGCAACCGCGGTATTAAAGACCTCTTCCTGCTCAGCAGAGGGGTCAAACACAAAATCATAAGTAAAGCATTTGTCCTTACCGACCAGTACCTGAGGTTCCCCTGGCACAAAGGAAAGGCACATGTGGCAGCCCTCACTGATCTCTTTAGCGACCAGAGGGCGACAACGTAGTGCTACTTTTACAGGGATTCTCTTTACCTCTTCCTTCATGATCCTAGCTCAACACCCTTTCAACTAAAGGTCCCTCTCCCAGTCTTCCTGGGCTCTTGCGGCCTTGTCCCAAAGTGAGCTTTAACTGCCAACCTTCATGTAGCTCGCAAGGCACCAGCCAATCAGAGGGCAGACAGGCTGTGGGCGGGGCACGCTGGTCCCCGCCCAGGACGGCTGGTCAGGGAGGGTAGGACAACCCTTCTGTTTTGCATTATACCTGCGTGATGAGGAATTTCTAGCTTTCAGTATGGTGTGTGATGATATCTGAGAAGGAAGAAAGGGCAGTAGTAACGTCACAAGGTGGTTTTTTTTTTTTTTTAGATGTTTTAAAATCATCCCAGTATTTTTGACGTAAATAATTGAAAGCTCCAGGGAATATTTAAACTATATATCGTTCCCTATGCTATCATATTATTCAACAAAAGAAAAAAATACACACCTTTCTCTTTGATAATAGCCTTAATGGTGTTAGTTACAGCCATAGTAAGAAAATACAGGCAGAAAACTATAGGATTTGATAATAAAAGTGGACCTAGAGAAGCCTTTAAAACTTGAAAATTATACTCAAAGAAAATGTATTAAAGATTAGTATATTTTGGATCAAATGCTAGTTTCTGAAATTTCCACTTACAGAAACATCCAGGTGTAGGATAAAAATCTCTGAGATAACAAAAATTATATTACTAGCACTATGTGAAATGCTTGTTTTTGGCTTTTAAACATATATCATCCAAATTATTTTAGAATTGTTATTAACATTAGCTCTTATTATGTTTATGAATATTCAGAATATTCAAGATCTATTGTATTGAGCAGAGATTTCCATAAGCCATAATCCTTCTTATTTAAATTTACATGTATTAAATGGGTTAAAGGATAGTTGCTAAATTGCAAGGGTATTTCCTACACTTAGGTAAAAGCCTTTAGAGATAGAATCCCATAGAACCTCTAAATTATCAATAATTACTTTAATTATTGATTTTCTATTAATGAGGTTTACCAGCATGAATTCAAGTGGTCCTTATGTACTTGCTTCTTTGATTTTCCTTAATACTGAAAAAGCTAGGCATAACCATGGAAAAGACAGAGCCAGACACAGTGACTGTAATCCTGAGGAACACGGCTGCGAGTTCCAGGTCAGTGTGGGCTACATAGTGTGAGTTCAAGACCAGAGTGAGCTAAGTAGTGACACACTGTCTTAAAAAAAAAAAAAAAAAAAAAAAAGAAAGAAAGAAAAAATAAAAAAGAAAAAGACAGGTGATAAACTCATGGTTATGCTTTTCTGAGCTGATTTAACAGAATACAAGGAGATACAAATTAGGAATTTTTACATCATCACCATTAACTTTACATACTTTGCATTTAGTCAGTAGAGAAGTTAAAGCCAAGTACAACGCTGCGTTGAGAGAAAATCAAGGTGTTGAGTATGTGATGGTCTATGGAGAGTCAAATAATATATGCAGCTGAAGGTTTCCACAAAGCATTTGTAGATAGTTTAACTTAGAGATGAAACAATATTTAGTGATAACATGTATAGGATAATAGAGGTGAACTTTTAATTAGTTATATAAAGTACAAATGACTCAGACTGCTTTCAAATTTAGACAAAACATTTATTTCCCATGTAGGAAAAGTCTATAAGGCCGTGAAAAACAATGGGATCAACAAGAACCGTGTTCAGTGCTATGACTTGAAAAGAGAAGCACAATTATTACGTGTATCAGAGTGTTTATTTAATATGTGAAAATTTTATACATGACAACTGTTAAAATGGGAAATCTGAATGAGAATATCAGTATTACTGAACAGAGCTGGCAATCTAGAAGTCCTTACTTCCTGGATCTTCGGTTGAGACACATTCTTTGTTGAAATTATTAGTGGAAAAGTGAGCCATGTGAAGGAAAGGATCCTTTGGGCTAGGTAAAATATGAAAATTACAGTTTGCTCTTACACAAAGAATTCCTGGAGTATAAAAGTTTAGAAGAAATAAAAAGAAGTAGTAACTTTGATGCTTAGAGACTAATAGAGAAAAAAATGAAGACAAGAGTATTGTAGAGAACATACAGCCTGAGGGAATTATGTTTTCAGTTTTGTAAAAGATGGTAAGATTGACTTTCAGCCTGCTTCTATTAGCCATACCTAAGTAACATAGTATTCTGTAAAATAATATCTAACTTTATTTTAAGTGTGCAAACCACCTACTTATGTAAAGATTAAATCCTATGTAGTGTCTAGTATGGCCTGAAACACTCTTCAGTCTACCAACACAGCAGATGTTCAGTTCACCCACATCAAAACTGCTATTTCTACAGTACTGTTTTATGAAATGTGTCTACTCTTCATATTCAAATGCTAACTTTTAGCTTTTCTTTCTTCTCTGCACGTCATCTGGGATCATTCCATTTTGAGACACATACATACACACACACACGCATATACATATAAAATTCTCTACAATTCCCACAGCTCTTTGTGTATAGAAATTTATAGTTAATATCTTCAAAATTATTTAACATCCAAATGAATAAAACTTTTATCCTGGAAATATGGAAGAATGGTAATGGTGAAGAACTTTTTTTTCTCTTTTCTGAAGATTTGTTTAAAATTCAGGGCAGTAAAAGTATTACCTCTTTTCAGAAGGGAAGATACACGGGTTTGCCAGCTGCCCTTTAAGGGACTCATGTTTCCTAAACCCACTGATCTTTAACTGTGACACAAATTTCCACCTGCGTCTCCTTTGGCTTTGTCATAGTGAGATGTGAGAGAAAGCACATGGAAACTAGAGAACCAAAATAAATACAAAATACAAAATGCATGGTGCCTGCTGTCCCAGAAGCGAAGCTAATAAACTATCTATACCAATATGGGTACACTTTCATGAGAAAGTACATGCACTTCATAAAACCATCGGCTAGAAATAGCAGCTTTGATGTGAGTGAATCATTTATGGGAATATGCTAAGATTTTAAATTAGTTTCAGGAAAAATCCAGGAAGTTTATTAATATAGTATTCCTATAGGAAAGTAACTCCCAACCAGTTAGATGTTAGTTGTGCTGAGTTTGTGATCTCACAACACCGTGGAATGAAGCCATGAACAAAAGGGAGAAGTTAGAAGAATTTTCTTGGAAATAAGAATAGCTCCTGGATATCCAGAAAGGATCTCATGTGTTTGTGGTCATTGAGGCTCTTTGTCAGGCGTATTTTATATAGCGAATAACAATGAGGGTCAAACCACCATCAAGCTATAGCATCACAAATATAGCTGCTTTGCTAATAATGATTCAATAAGGAAAATTAATCACATAACAAGGGTACATGGAAAGAGTAGAAGCGTTACTGGAAAGGGCTGAGAGTACAAGTCTAGATACTCTGGTTGCCCACTTATGTGTCTGATGCCTGTCTGGGCTCACTAGACCAGGGGGTGCTAATCAGATGCAGTGACAGCTGCTGTCTGTCTCCAGGGAGGCTTTCAGGCCTGGCTATTCCATTTCCATCTTGAAGGCTCTCTTCAGATTCACTTCCAACCACCATCTTGCTGTTTCTTCTCTTCTACACTGGATTCCTCAAGGCCCTGATACCTCTTTGGCTGGCTATGAACTTCTATCTCTAATAGATGCATGTATTATTTAATAATATTAATGGAAGGAAATTCTAGACCAAATTGTCAACTCTAAAGTTTTAGAATCATCCACACTGGATCCCAAAATGGTGTTAAAGTTATTTTTCTCACTGTGTAAAACTCTAAAATATAAAAGATGGACAAATTCAACAATTTAAATGAATTTTAAACAATTTTAAACAAATTTTAATACATTTAAAATGTTTATGCATGATTTATTCCTAGTACATATTTTAAAGAGATTCCTCATATACATAATAAAATAAGACTATATTCCTCACTTTCCTATTCATAAATGTATTAGTATCATTGTAGATATTTGGAGACTTAAAATTGCTTATTATGAATCAACATCAAAGTTTCAGGTAAACAACAGCACACAATCTCTTCACAAAAACATCAACTACCTCAGTGAGAGTTTGCTGTTTTTTTGGGATTTTTGCAAATATACTGTAAAAATAGAACAGATTATTTTCACTGTTCTGGGGATTTATTAATATGTTAAAATGCTATTTTGATATGGACAGATAAAATTCTAAATTTTTTCCTACTACCTAAAAAAATGAAGCACAGAGTAGCAGACAAACCTATTTTAACAATTTGATCATTTTTCTATTTCTTTATTCCCCAATGATAGTTCCATTATGTACCGGGGATGTGGAACTTAATAAGAATAAATTCCAGGTAGCAGAAGGCTGTGAAATTAGCATTTCAAAAACTTGTCAAGTTGCCTGGAGATATTTTAGTAGTTTTCATAATATCTTTACAATCAGCTTTGCCCTTGGGCTCTTCTCACTAATATTGAAAATAAACTAATTCCAAAGGTGATAACTAAAACACCCACTCTTAGTGGTACAGAAGTCTGTAAAGATAGCTTGCTTTGACTTGAGAGATTCTGTACAATTTTTTTTTTCCTGACTTAGGTACTGAAGTTCCAAGATAGTGCATGATGAAAAGTCTTAAAAGTTTAAAAGAAAGATGGGGATATTAGGTAGGAAGATCTGTAGTCAAAGTTCTCTGGCAGTCTTGTGCCTCAGTGGGCAGAGTTTTGAAGGTCTGGTATAAATTTCTGGTGGCTTCAGGTGTACCCAGATGTCCTGGGGCCTTCACAGTTCTTTGTTCTATTTTTATCTCCTTTATGGTACCTCCTGCCTGCTGATGATGGCTTCTTGGGTGCTGAACTGAGCTCTCTCCTCAGAGTGGTGTCTCTGCTGGGGCTGGGAAAGACAGGTCTGATTAGAGTCTTACACTGAGGTTCTCAAGCAATGAATACTTACAGATGTATGCATGTTTAATATACTACACAATTAAGTTAGAAGCGAATATGTTATGCTATACTCAAGTTTGATTAAAATACATATTCTGAAAATATGTTAGAAT